GTCTTAATTATTTACCAAATGGTCGGAACACAAAAAAAACAAAAAGTGGCCGAAAATAGCACATAATGAGCACAATAATACGAACAAATTTTTTCTTAATTTTTTCATTTTAGCGCCGCTAACTTGATTGAGCTGTTCATAAGTTACATGAATACGTGTGCCCACCGCTGTGTTTTTATTGTTGTTGTGTTTACAACTACTCTGATTATTGTTGTTGGTTGTTTACTATGCTGTCAGCCAGCATCGGCTGTTGATTTAATGTTATTCCTCCAATCCAGTCCATCTTAGTACTTGTACACGTCGTCTGACCAAAGCAGTGTTGAGGCGGATTAAAGAGGAGCTTCATTCGAATGCTTCTCAGCTCCCAAAGGATTGCTTGCTGAATGACAGAATCTGTTACAAATTGTAAACAATACGACAGTAGGTATGCTGGATAAGTGGAAAGTAAGTAAAATGTAGGTGGCTCAATTCTTACCCGTTTAGATGGTAAATTATACTCGTAGGCAGTGCCAGTAGGTGGTATTTATGTAGTTCACTTGACCGCCTGGTTGCTTAAAATATGGAACACAACATTTTGGCAATTAAACTGTTTGTAGTAATCTGTAATGGTTGATTGATAGTGTTTTTTTTTGTTGAAACAACAAAAGCACAATTAATGGCAAGCGGGCCAAGGGCCAGAAAAAGATATAGTATTGGCCAGGTAGAAAAATTTATGAAGATTGCGTAGATGCAAATATTTTTGTTAAGCTTAGAATACGTTATGCTTATAAACGAGGAATTAGTAATCAATAAAATAAATAATTAGAAATATTCAAAAAAACAGTCATGATTATTTACCATTACCCAAAGTAATAAAAAATAATTTTGTTATTTTTTGACTACTTTTGATTACACATGGCAACACTGATTTTGGTGCGGCAAATGTAAAAGCTTGTTTTTAAGATTTCTTTGCTAGAGCTTCTAAAATATTACGCAAAACGCGATTTTTTGACACTTTGACCGCTTTTTTCTCAAAATCTAAAGCTGATGGAAACTTTGTACTTGCGGACTCGTTATCAGCACACAAAAGTCTATCAAAACCAGCTTTTACATTCGCAGCACCAAATTATTATTTCCATTTTTGTTGACTTTTGTTTTTCTTGATTACTTTTATTACAAACCGACTTCCCAAAAAGGAGGTGGTTATCAATTCGCCGGAATATTTTATTTATTATAGCTTTTGACCGCGTCAACCGAATTCGAAAATTCATTTTGTATCGGAGAGATAGTGTCTCAGAGGTGGCCCCATACTGATCTGGTACGATCATTGGATCATGAAAAAATTAACGGTACTCTTAAACAGGATTTCTGCCAGGAGGGGTTCTGGCAATTTTTTTTTTTAGTTTCACTTTTATTTCAACATATTTTGATTAAAAGAAAAATACTGATAAAAATAAAATATTTCACACAAACAACAAAAAATATAATCGATAATCGCATGAGGCTATTGCCTGAAAATTTTAAAATGCGCTTAGTGGCATTGTGCTACTATAATAGCACGGCCGAGTAATCATAGTAAATTTATGTACAGTAATTTTTTTTTAGTTTATTAGTCGAACAAATTATAGCCGCACTAAATTTTCACAAGTTTTAAAATGTTATTTTGCTGTTATTTAATTTTGGTTCGTTTTTTCTATGTGTAATTCTTTAAAAACATCCGTATAAATACAAGTTTAAACGCAGTGTCACACGATTGGGTATTTGCCAAAATTTGGTGCAAATCGTATCCCAATTATGTGAACAGCCAAAGTATTTTTCTTTATCTCAATCACGAAAATTAATTTGTTGAAATTTTTCAGTAGAACATCGCTGTAATGTACCAATCTTTTGACTACAAAAAAAATTCCCCTTTTTTTACCAATAGCCCAATATAAAAATGTACAAATCTATACAAAGGTACCAATCGAGTGACACTGTCTTAAAAAATTATGCAATTTAAAAAAAAAATATCAACAAATTTTCGCTAAAATTTCGAGGTTTTTAATTAATTTCTGAGTGTGCAGTTTTGTATCCCATTGAACTCTACTGGAATAAAGTACAAGTTTCAAATGGCTAAAAATTTCGATTGACTTTTTAGAATTTTAAAAAGTTCGAAATTTGTACAAAACTTTGTTAAATTTTTTTTAATATGGCACAAATTTGGGAACTTGGATTTACACGGGTTTTGTTATAGAACTATATTTTTATAAAAAAAATAACAAAAGTTCAATAACAACAAAAATAATACGTTAGAACTTGGCAAAAATGTTTTGGCTACAATTTTTTTACCACTGTATGTATGTGGCAGCCATCTGAATTGCAGCGGCACCATATATGGCAAAAGAACGATGCTACTGGCGTATGCAGACGATAACGATATCGTAGGTCTGAAATTTAGGGACGTAGCCACAGCATTTTCCAGTTTAGAAAAAGAAGCTAAAGAGATTGGTCCAACGGTGAACGAGGGCAAGACAAAGGACCTCCTGGCAACATATAAAGAGTCCACGCGTTTCGGGACACATGTCACTGTTGGTAGCAATAGCTTTGAAGTAGTGAAGGACTCTGTCTACCTAGGATCCCGCATAAACACCACAAACAACTTCAGCCTGGAGATTAAGCGAAGAATAACTCTTGCCAGCAGGTGCTACTTTGGGCTCGGTAGGCAATTGAAAAGAAAACCTCTCCCCGACGAACGAAAATCACGCTCTACAATCTCTCACCATGACCGTCCTTTTATATGGCGCAGAAACATGGACGATGTCGAACCAAAATGAAAAGGCTTTGGGGGCTTTCGAGAGAACTATTCTGCGCAAGATCTACGGCCCTGTTTTCGTGGATGACGGGTATCGGAGAAGATGGAATGACGAACTGTATGAGCTTTTTAACGACATGGACATAATTAAGCGCATAAAAATACAGCGATTGCGCTGGCTTGGACATGTTGTAGCATGGATGACGATGCTCCGGTGAAAAGATCCTTCGACTCCGCACCCATGGGTGAACAACGAAAGCAAGGGCGCCCACGAACGCAATGAAAGAACCAAGTGCCCCCCTCACTGACCTTCTTAAAACCCAGTTCGTAAGCCCATCAAAATACGCGCTCACTCTGTGGAGTTATATTTTTTAAGAGCACTGCAAGAGCGCTAGCGTTATTTACTTTCTCTTCACTATAAACGCAGCACAAGTTTGGTCACTCATAAATTCGCATGCGGATCTGCATGCTATATATTAGGACTACTCTTGGATCATAGCTTCTAAAAATTTTTAGCCTAGAAATCTAAAAATAAGCATCTTAAAACTTAAATTTTTTTTTTTAAATTTCAATACGACTATTTTTCCACGAAATATTTGGAGTTTTCCCTTACTCCTTTAATTTTTTGAGTATTGTATTAACTGCCTACATCGATAGATAAAACCTAGCGAACATTTTTGTTCTTTACTATCTAAACAGGATATATTTTCCTAATCCTCACTTTCCAATTGTGAACCACCATGGTTTTTTTCACGCCAACGACCACTGGTGGTCCACTTGGAGCACTTTGGAATCACTGATGTACGTATATGTATGTACGTACAACTGCGAGTTCAGAGAGAGGCGCTTTTATTACATCCTCTATCTTTGCACCAACATGCATCTCAGGCGCGGAAATCTTGTGTGAAGGCTCTGAAAACCCTGGTTGTCAGAATTAAGTAGCAATGTCCTCGCTTAGAAAGAATGGCGCCTTGCATACTTTTGTAGTTGTTGAGGGTGCTTTCGACAATTACACTTTTGATAGGCCTCGGGTGATCGGTTAGTTAGCAGATTTTCATTGGGAAAAAATGGACATATATTCTTCCGTTTCCATCAGTATCAAAAAGTTAAGTTAAGTTTAAAATTGATAATCCTAAAAGAAAAGTTATTTCAGAACGGTCTCAACAGAGTCAATGCTTTCCAACTTAACCTAAATTTTCTAATAGCTGTGAAAACACAATTTTCCACTATTTAACGAATATAAGAATATGAGAATCCGTTGAAAACTGTCTAATTTATGACCAGTGTTTTGACCCAAGATCCCATTTTTCAGTTTTTTGATCATTACTTCAGATTTTGGGGATGTAATTGGAATTCTGCCAATGCCTAAATTCTTATCTAATCACCTCCGCAACCTTTTTTTTTAGCAACGCAATGTGTGATTTTATTTCAATTAAAACAAAAGTCCCAATATAACTAACGACTTTTATTGTAAAAGTTATAAAAGTCCGCGTGCCTGCACTTTTTCACCTATAGCAATATAGTGCAAATACATACTCATACATACTTATGTATGTAGTTAAATTCCAGAAAAACAGACAGTTCAACTGATAGCCTGGAAAGAACAAATACATGGCACAGCACTAAGTTATATACATACATACAAACGTACTGGTTCGAGTCGCCCCCCGCTGCTAGCCAAATTCGCAAACAGAAAAACGAAACGTAGGACAGCTTGACGAACGCTCAATAGTTCCACCGTATAGCCAACGTTTAGCTAAGCGCACCATGCAAAGCTTTAGGGAAAGTCAAATAGAGTGGATTGACAGGATCTACTGGCGCTGAAGCTGACGTGAACATTTTTGCCACTTCAAACTGCTTCCCCGCTCACGCCTCATACCGAAACACTGATACATGGTAATTTCATTTGGGAAACGCGCGCTATGGGAATATATTAAGCGTTGTGGAAGGAGAAGTATAAAGCAGGCGGCAAAAAGAAAAACAAAGTATTCTAAACTACCACGGGAGAATCGTAGAATTGTAGCGAGCTGGCATGTTGGAGTGTTAGTATGCAAATTGCCTGGTAAATTGCTTTTGCATATTGATTTCGGATACTTTATGCTAGCGGAGGAGGTAAAATTGGTGCCAGCAGCAGCTGCAGTGGCAAGTGACTGCGGTTAAGGCGAAGGACGCTATCATTTGGAAAATTTGCACATAATCACCGGTTATTTTACACCCTGAACAGACATGCAAAGTGGCCGTCATGTGGGTGAGTCTTTCTGGGTTGCGGTGTTTGCATAGATTTTATGCGAATAATTTCCTGAATTTCATGGCCTAGCAACTTTTGTATGAACGAGAGTACTTTTGAAAAAGACCTTTTCGTAACTAGTTTTATTGCAGAATGGGAGGCATTGCAATATTTCCTTGTTCAGAAATACTTACTTTTTCAGTTGAATATCTCGAAAACTGAGGGACCAGTTGGCGTCCAAACAGGCAGACAGATGGACATGTCTAAATCGACCCAGCTCGTTTATGTGTACAAGCTTATAATCCACCTCTGAAGAAATATCAAAAGAAATATTTTGCATTATTTATGTAGCTTGAAACGCACTTTACTTTTGCTGTAAATTTTCTTGAAGGAACATTTTTTTTCTTGAGAGCTGCAAACTCCTTTAAGAAATTTTTATAGAACACAATTTTTTTTCCATTTCTTGTGCGTCACTTTATATGAATTTTTCGTTTTTTATGAGAGCTGGAAACAGCCCTTAACTTGTAAATACCCGGCTTGCTTCACAGCTTAAAAGTATAGACAAAATAAAACAGATTTGAAAAGCTTTATGAAGTCAAATTTTGAAAAAAATTTTCGATTTATGAGACATACTTTTTTTACGAATATGGGTGTTAGTGAATATATTTTCAAAGGCATTTAATCCTGGAAATTGTTCAAAGGTGTATTAATTCAGTATTTACCATATCTTATCACTTTAACTGAATACAGTTTTTCAAAAAGTTGGCAACCCCCTACATATATATTTTCGGCAGTATACTTTTACAAACCTCTTTAGTTTGATACCCGCATTGTAATATTTCATTATATTAATTTAAAAAGTGAATAAAATGTTTCAAACAGGTGGCAACGCTCATCAAAAAAAATTTTGTCAGTAATTTCCCTAAATCGCTTTATTTTCTTACCCGTATTGCAACATTTAATTTATCTTATCAATTAAATTAAATTATAATTTTAAAACATATGGCAACCTCCAAAAAGATATTTCTGTCTATGGCCCTTTGTAAATCTCTTTCTTCTGACGGCCATATCACAATACTTACTTTATATTATCAACTTACTTAAACTGCAATTTTCAAACAATTGGCAACTCTCTAATTATATTTTTCCTATATTTTAAGCTAAACCTTTAGCAATGCATCGGTGAAAACTGCATTCCATTCTATTTATTAGTTTTCGAGTGATGCGTGTACAAGCATTCAGACAAATAAAAATTCTACAAATTCTTGATTTTGCTTATGTTGTTGTAATAAAAACCATCTTTAAACAGCCGACAAGAGCTATGCCCTTAGTTGTTCTATTTGTCTATTGTCATTTTAGAGAGATACGTATGTCTTATATGTCCAACATTTTCAGTTTCAACAACATCTGAAACTTCATACATTTAGCACGTTTTTGTAAGCACACAAGGAGTGAAAATAGACTAGTCTTCTAATATGGACGCTCTAAAATTTACGCGGCAGTCTCTATATTTTCATTTGTATGCATGCCTGCGTTTGTAGTAATTTAGATATGTACTACCATGTCACGCCTACATTTTTATTTGCATTTAAGCTTCCTGTTTGCGGCATTCGTTAGTGAATGTTAAAGAAAATTATATAAGGCGAGTAAAAATGCAAAATAGAGATTTTTTTATTTTCAATAAGATATTCATAAAATATGCACTACTGCAGTAATATACGTATGTTCGTATATGTACACTGTAGTTAATTACAAATGCCAACCGATTGCAATAACCTCATTTGGAGAAGAATCACTTAAGTTCAAACGGTATCAATGATACGTACATATATATTTTGCGCCGTGGTGAGGGAGGAGGTGCTAGATCACACTTGAAGCTGCACTTTTTGTTCTTTGGTCGCTCTTCCTTTTAATTTTCCGGCTTTTTTTCTAAATTCCATTCCAATTAAATATATCTTCAGTTTGGTTAAAAATTTAGTCTCTCAGCCGTTTTAGAACAAAATCAATCGATAATTTCTCACTGTGCAGTGGAACGAGTATATGGCTATTCTAACTGAATAAAATACAATTATTAGATGCTCTAAGAGGGAATCTTGAAAACAGCAATGCGAGTCAATAGAGACGTTATTTTAGGCCCTACGTCAGCAGAAAACTTTATCAAAAAAATCCTCCAATGAATAGGTCTCTTAAGGATAGGTCAGCGGGACCCCAATTGCTAGGCTTTTCGGTGGAGCATGATCAGATGACCCGTGTCTTCTCCGAACATACTTACGTACCGTATTAAGTCAAGGCAAGTCTGGCTTCAACTTTGACAGAGACAATATACAGTGGGCGGTATAGTTTTTGAAACCATTCAAGGCAGCGGGTGATAATCGCATTTTTCTAGTACTGCTACAAAGAAGGATTTAAGACATAATTTATGTACGTACCTCTTCAGTAAAGCTAGTTTTGGCTCGGAATACGTACGGTACGCTTATCCGCATCTGAATATTGACCTATTAGCTTAACTTTCTTTATTCTCAAAATGATAGAGTGACTGTTAGACCTCCACATTAGGTGAGAACTCCCTAGCATAATGCTTGGCTTAGATCAAAGTCAAATCAACTAATTCGACCTTACAGTATATGATAAGAAGCATCTTTGAGGCAAATTTACCGTCTTGGACTTCGAGGAGGCTGTCGATAATACTGGCTGTAGTTTTATCTCACAGCCATTGGTTAAAATAAGTATACATAATTTTTCTGAATGTGCTTTGATAGAAAGTTCCCATTGATAATCCTCGTTCGAGGATATTGGGTAAACGCTCTTTACAGACGGTTCAAAGAGGTGCAATTATTTATTGGTTAGCTTTTCAGATAGCCAGCAACCATTCGGAATCTCTCGAACACGATGATCAAATCTAAAATTGTTAAAAACTTCTTCCACACGCTTCCATTTTTGGCGCTGGGGTATAGAAAGCAATGTCTTCGCTGACGAGTTGGCATGATAAGAATTTTTAACCGCCGTTTTAGGGCCGACGCACAGTGGTCGAAAACACTTATTTAGCGGCGTTTAATTAATAGCGCTTAGAGAATTTTTTTTTTTGTTTGTGTAATATTTTTTTTTAGTTGAAAACAGATTAATCTACAATGGTAAAGAAAAAAAAAATCTTTTAAAAATATATTTATATTTTATTTTTTTTGTGAAAGTTGAACCTTTTTTTCATATTTTAGACATTATTTCTTTTATTCAGAAAACATGATGAAGTTAATATATTTAATGTTTCTTATTCTTTTGGGCTAAAAATATAGTAAACTTTAATATTAAAATTTTTTTTATTTGATTTTTTTATTTTTTTATATTTTTTTTTAATTTTTTTTTTCTGTTGAAATAACTATTTTAGGCCTTATTC